TTTGCTCGAGCGGGCCCAGTAATGTTTCCATTGTGAGACTTTGTTACTGTGTTTGGCATATCGAATACGCCACGGGTAGCTTGCCAGGCTTTGCTGTGTGGGCGAGATACTCTCAGTAGCTTGCTGGGCTCTCCGAGAGGGGCGGAGGAATCGAACTCGGGTCGGTCATGTTGGCTGCATGCAAGGCAAATGCCCTACCACTGTGCTATTGCTCCAACACCCAGTACTTTACTAAAAAGCTGTATTAAAGTAGAGGGGGGAGAGAGGGAGGGAAGGAGGGAGGGAGGGAGGGAGGGAGGGAGGGAGGGAGGGAGGGAGGGGGAAGAAAGGGAAGGAGAAGGAAGGGAGGAAGGGAAAGAGGGGGGAGAGAGAGAGAGAGAAAGGAGGAAAGTGTCTGCAAGTTAGGGAAAGTGGTGGGAGGGAGTTGGTGGTGGAAAATGTACAATGGTTAAGGATTGGGACATGGTATGACTAAACCCAATCATGACAACTTTGTAACTATATCTCACGTAATTATTTTTTCTTTTTGGGTCACACCTGGCTATGCACAGGGGTTACTCCCTGGCTCTGCACTCAGGGATCACTCCTGGTGGTGCTCAGGGGACCATATGGGACGCTGGGAATTGAACCCGGGTTGGCTGTGTGCAAGGCAAACGCCCTACCTGCTGTGCTATTGCTCCAGCCCCTCAATTTTTAAAAATGTATTATATCAAACATATAATATATCAAGGATGTTTCTGTTTTGAGTCTAGGCAATAAGAAACATATCACAAGCACACTGAATGAGATAAAAACTTAAATGATGAGGGAAAGGGGGAGGGGGAGGAGAAAGAGAGAGAGAGAGAGAGAGAGAGAGAGAGAGAGTGTGTGTGTGTACCGTAAGACACTTGCCTTGCACTCCTGACCCAGCTTCAAAACCCTGGTGCCACACATGGTTCCCTGAGCCACACGGGGGTCACACCTGAGCACAGAACCAGGAACATTTCTGAGCACTGCCCAGGTAAAACCCAAACATCCCACTCCTCACAAAAAAATTTTCAAAGACTTGCGGTGCACCAATGAATTTTTATAACTCCTTGCAAATATCTACTGGGGGAAGAGGCATGAGCTTGCAAAGAGTCAATGGTGAGGGTACGGGGGGCCCCCAAGCTGTGCCCAAGAGTCTATGGGTCATTCCTGGTGACACTCCGTGAACAAGACCCCCTGGCAGGGGAAGGGGGAGGAGCCGTGGGGTAACAGTGGAGTGTTCCTGAAATAGTGACGAAGCAGCTCTGCCACCATAAACCAACTTCAATCGTATTATAAACGACGATTCCTCAATAAAAAAATTAATTAAGGGGCTGGAGCAACAGTACAGTGGGTTGGGCATTTGCCTTGCACTCGGCCAACCCGGGTTTGATTCCCAGAATCACGTTTGATCCCCGAGCACCGCCAGGAGTAATTCCTGAGTGCAAAACCAGGAGGAAACCCTGTGCATCGTCAGGCGTGACCCCATCAGCAGGATTTCTGATGGAACTTGTTTTTCCTACCCACAACCGTAAAAACAATTTTGAAAATAGCCTATGAAAAATGCCTATTACCCTCTTAACAGTAAGAACTGCTTGTAAAATTTGATATATATCCCTGTGCCCTTGTCTTCAGTCTTTGTTCCAAGCACATAAGAAGAATGCATCCTCAGCCATCCTTCTAGAAGACTCTAATCACATTTAAATTTGATTCCTTCCTTGTTGCCCTCAGCAACACAGGTCTCCCACCAACTCACTAAGGGTTCCTCAAAGAGCAGGGCACTCCAACACCAAGATTCTTATATTTTTTTTTTTGGTAGTGCTACAGTGTTCCAGGCTGGAGCGATAGGACAGCGGGGAGGGTGTTTGCCTTGCATGTGGCCGACCCAGGTTCGATTCCTTCGTCCCTCTCTGAGAGCCTGATAAGCTACCGAGTGTATCTCGTCCGCAAGGCAAAGCCTGGCAAGCTTCCCGTGACGTATTCAATATGCAAAACACAGTAACTAGTGTCACAATGGAGATGTTACTGGGCCCACTCGAGCAAAATCAATGAACAACAGGAGGAGAGTGCTACAGTGACAGTGACAGTGTTCCAGTCTAGGGATGTATTTTAACTGATGTGGACCATCACCTGCCACTCAACATTTTCAATTAATCAGAAGTTTTAACTCTTATGAATAACACATGTGGGGAGAATTCTTGAGCACTGTGTGTGAATCTTCCATTTTTCTTGGACTACATTCCTAGAAGTGGCATTTACTGGGCCAAGGATCTGGCGGTACCAAGAGCTCTGAACCAAGTGGCCCGTCCATCAGCAGTACCGCCGCCCTTCCCGACCACAAGCCAAATGCAGACGGGCCTCAAAACTGAAAAAAAAAAGAAAAAGGAAAACTTTCCCTTTCAGCAACAAAGAGCTGACTGTATGGCAGAGAACCTGCCAGAAGAAAAAGAGGGGGAGGCCTGGGAGCCGGCGCCTGCCTGCTGCCCACGTGGCCAGCCCAGCCACCTGTGGTCCCCGTGGCTCCCCTGAACTCACAGCTGCTGGCCTCCAGGACCGTGTGGACACGTCCCCTCACCTGGCCCGGCTCCCACCCCTGCTCACTGCCAACCTTCCTGCCGCTGGCCGCCAGGAAATTCTCAGTAATTCCCCAGTGTCCAGCACTCTTGCACTTGGCTTTGCCCGGGCGCTGGGCCGCCCACCCTGTTCAAACCTGGGCTCCCCCCACCAGGACGCACTCCTCAGACCGGAGCGTCTTCAACCTTTTCCCACTGGTGACCCCGTGTCACCCGAGACACGCAACACAGGTGCAGGCTGCCAGGAACACCTCAGATGCACGACACGGTTGGTTCTGAAGTAATGTTTGGGCCCTGAGCTTTCAGAAACCTTTGATGGCTGCCAAATTTTCCACAGCTCCCCCAGATCCAATTACATACCCCTACGGAATGGAGACCCAGAGTTTAAGAAGTCAGGCTTTGGGGTTGGAGTGGGGATGGCGCTTGTCTTGCATGTGGCTGACCCGGGTTCGAACCCCGGCACCCTATCTGGAACTCCAAGTCCCACCCAGAGAGAGCCCTGAGTGCGGAGCCAGGAGTGAGCCCTGAGCACTGCGAGATGTGGCCCAAAAACACAACCCCCAAACAAAAAGGAAGGGAGGTCTCACGGCAAGAGCCACTTCACCGTTCCCTACTGAATCCTCAGCACCAAGAAGTGCTTGAGACACCGCGGGTACCGTGGCTGACTCGGGTTCAATCCCCAGTATCACACACGGCCCCCTGAGCCCCACCAGGAGCGAGCCCAGGGAAGAGCGGGGTGTGACCCAAACTCTAAAACCAAACCAAACAGGAAAACCAAAATGTACAGAACAGTCAGCCTAGAGCAGGATTAGAGAACTCAGTCTGGAAATGACCTTCAGGCTATGGGGACCATCCAGTCCCTGTCACCACTCCCCAACTCTGTCTTGGCAATGCAAAAGCAGCCACAGACAGTGGCCTGACCAAGAAAGGGGGTACTGCCAAAGGCAGGGCCAGGCAAATGGAGCCCGTGGACCATGGTTTGCCGGCATCAGGCTTAAAGAAAAGACCTTTCTATTTTTTTTTTTTTGGGTCACACCCAGCAATGCTCAGGGGTTCCTCCTGGCTCTGCACTCAGGAATTACTCCTGGCGCTGCTTGGGGGACCCTATGGGATGCCGGGGATCGAACTCGGGTCAGCCGTGTGCAAGGCAAGTGCCCTCCCTGCCATTCCAGACCAGAAAGGACTTTTCTGCAAGTTTAAAGAAAGGCAGGGAGAGAAGTCAGAGAGACGGTACAGCAGTTAATACACTTGTCCTCACGCTGCTGATCGGAGCACGGAGCCAGAAGTAGCCATTTAGCAGGGCCAGGTGGGACCCAAAGCACCCCTCCTTTTCCCTCCCTCTCCCCCCCCCCCAAAAAAAAACAACAAAAAAGATGTTGTGCAGATCGTGGAGACTCAACAGTTTTGAACCTATGCACAGTCCCGCTAAACTATATGGCTACAAGTCGAATACAGCCATCGTGTCCTTCCAAGTCCTGGGCCCTGTGAGCCGGCCTGTAATGAGCAGAGCAAGGGCAAAGGAAACAGCTAAAAAGCTAAAAAGTGGGAGAGGGGGCTGGAGTCATAGCACAGCGGGTAGGGCGTTTGCCTTGCATGAGGCCGACCCAGGTTTGACTCCCAGCATCCCACAGGGTCCCCCGAGCACCGCCAGGGGTAATTCCTAAGTGCAGAGCCAGGAGTAACCCCTGTGCATTGCCGGGTGGGACCTACAAAGCAAAAAAAAAAAAAAAAATCGGCAGAGGGCAGTGAGCGAGAGCCTCACAGAGGCCAGGCCTCCGTCATAAGCAAACAGGACGAAGAGCCCAAGTGAAGGCAGAGGGGCCTGCTGGGTCTCCTGGGTGTGTGCAATCGTCCGTGAGAGGCGGAAGGAGCACCAGCCGACCTGGGCCGGGCCCGCAGAGAATCAGGATGTGAATAGCACTGAGCAGAACACCCCAGCCCCTGACGCACATATACCCAAACATGTCTGTGCTCTGTGCAGAGATGGGGGGAGAAGGGAGAACGGACATGCTCTCAGACCCACGCTGTTGGGCTCTGAGATCAGTGCTCCGAGCTCAGTGTCGTATCACTGCTCATGTCTTCAAGCCTCTGGAGTCCATCCTCCCCTTGCCGAGCCCCAGGGTCCCCAGCCCAATCCTCCAAGGCCTCTGCTCCTTGGCTGACAGAACAGAGAAGCAGGCGGGGCCTGCGTGACCCACGGAGAGGAACGTCTCTGAAAAGATCCTCAGGGGGCTGGAGCAATAGCAAAGTGGGTAAGGCGTTTGCCTTGCATGTGGTTGACCCAGGTTCAATTCCCAGCATCCCTTAGGGTCCTCCAAGCACCGCCAGGAGTAATCCCTGAGTTCATGAGCCAGGAGTAACCCCTGTGCATCGCCGGGTGTGACCCAGGAAGAAAAAAAAAAAATCCTCTCAGAGCCTTACTTTTCATAGTCCCCTCCTCCTCCTCGTCTTCCGCGTTGATCACCATGGTCCCCAGCTGGGAGGGCAGCGTGTCCCCGTGCTCAATCATGGTATTGGCTCCGTCGCTCAGGGTGCTGGCGATTCGGACAGTGCCCATCTCCTCGCCGGCCGCCCGCACCATCGTGCCAGAATCCACTTCCTCCTCATCCTGGGAAAGAGAAAAATCTCAGTGGGGAGCTTATTGGATTCCGTTCCCTGAACCACTGTTCCTCATCTTGGTGCGAATGTTTTTGGAGCTGATGGTGTTTCCAGTTGGGAAACAGAACGGAGAGCCCTCACATTTAACCAAAGACCACACGTGGACAACGGCGACAGTGGCACCCCTGGGACGTGCTCCCTCTCCTCCTCTCTTTAGTCAAGTGTATTAGCACTCTGGGCCTGGGGTCGGCACCTGTGCTGACCTTGGGAGTGTAAAATATTTTGCTACGTAGCTCGGGCATGCGGGAACCAGGACTTGTGGCCGCATAAGCGGCCGCGCGACATCTCCCTACATGCAAAGTGATGAATGGAAAGTAAATCATCCAACGTTTCTCCCTGAAAATCAGGCTTAACTCCTTTACAAACCAAAACACCCAATAGGAGAGAGCGAACAAAAGGGAATGCTCTGCCACAGAGGCAGGGTGGGATGGGGGGATGGGGGGTGGGAGGGATACTGGGATCGGTGGTGGTGGGAAATGGTCACTGGTGGAGAGATGGGTATTCAAAAAAAAAATTTTTTTGCTACGGCTCCTCACTTCCTCCAAAACGACTCGGGGGGCTGGAGCGACAGCACAAAGGGTAGGGGGTTTGTCTTGCACGCGCTGACCCAGGTTCGATTCCCAGCATCCCACTTGGTTACTCGAGCACCGCCAGGAGTAATTCCTGAATGCAGAGCCAGGAGTAACCCCTGTGCATCGCCAGGTGTGACCCAAAAAGCAAAAAAAAAAAAAACTTCAAAATGTCTCAGACCTGAGCATACTCTCTCCCCACTCCAAAGTCAAACAATATAAAAAGAAAAGAGGGTGGGAGAATCATGTTGGGCCGCATGTTGCAGGGAGAAGGCCACGCCCAGATAGGGCAGGTCCCCAGTCAGCCTTGCTCCAGGACAGGAAGGAGGGAGGCGAGAAGCGTCTCTCACTCCGGGCCAGCCCAGCCTCTCCTGCTCTCTTACCCCCCGGCGGTCAGGAAGTCACCAGGTCCCCAGAGGGCCGGCCACTCACTGAGTTTTCTTCATCGTCCTGGTCCACCTCTCGCTGCTGGGCCTCCTGGCGCTTGAGCTTCACGTCCATGGCTTCGTTGATGAGGTCCCGCAGTATGGACACTCCTTTGGCACTCTTCACAAAAGGGTGCTTAAACGAGAAAAGCAGAGACCCCCCTCGAGACAGAGTCTGGTACCCGGTCGTTCCCTGAGAGTAACGACCGGCTCCACGGGGTATAAGCTTCCTCTTTGGGGCCTGGACCATCCCAGGACGACATTCGCACAGCCAGACTCTACCGTCTGTTTCAGCCTCGCTGCAATGTCTGTCTCCTGTTCCTCTCTGCCAGACTTCGAGATCCTCCGCAGGGTGGCACTGCCCCCTAGAGAAAGTTTGGTGCAAGTGCTGGGCACTTGCATGGCAAAGTGGGCACAAATGGCACGGGTGGGAGAGCAGGGACACAGCAACGCTGCGAAATGCGCGTTCTGCACCTCTGCTGGATGTCGCAGAGTACCTGCGCTTCAATAAGGAACAGAGAAAACACTCGCAACAAAACGTCCAGTAATTTGGAAGGAGGCTTTTGGAGGGAGGCTTAAATGAAATGAAGACACTGTTTAGAAGTCACGGAGTAATCTACTCAATCTGCTCTATTTAATGTACTCGATCATTCCCAAACTACAGACGCAAGTGAAAAGGGACTTTGGTGCAGGGCTACTGAGACAGCTCAAGAGGACTGCAGCGCATGAACGCTTTATGGGCAGAAGTCCCAGGGTGGATGCCTGGCACCAAAGAGTCTCCCAAGAATCACTGAGCATGCCCTGCCCCCCTGCAAAAAAAACAAAACAAAAACTCCTTAAATAAATAAAAAAGACTTCAGTGCGAAAGTGCAGGTACTGTAGAAATACTAAAACTAGGGCTGGTGGGGTAGCTCAGTGGTTGTCTTGCACGGTGTGAGGCCTGGGGGACAATCCATCCCCAGCTACACACACATACACACACATACACACACACACACACACACACGAACACGAACACAGATCACATGTATGTGACGTGGGTTCAAATATTCTTTAATCAGCAAAGCCACTTGAAACACAGAGATCCTGCTGAATTTCATTTAGAAAAACAGCTCTGAGGTTGTGAGTACAGCTCCAAGGGCTGGAACGCATGTCTTGGTCTCTGAACCACCCCCACCCCAAGTATAACCATGATGGCCACTAAGACTTCTCATGTATAGCAGCGGTGGCCCCAAGAACCCCACTCCTCCTGTGCCCGGCCACACCTGCGTAGTTGGGCTGCCACCCGGTGTGCAGACTCTGGCCCTGCCCTTGACCAATGGGGTGACTGAACAACTCCGGCCCTCTGAGCCCACCTGCACTCACCTGCAGTAGGAACATCATCCCACACAGAGACGAGCAGCGATGACATGGCACCCTGCACAGAACCCCACACAGCACCAAGCACAGCACCCAGCACCCAGGAAGTGCTAACTGCAAATTCCACAGTGCCCTGGGTTTTCTTTTCTTTTTTCTTTTTTTTTTTTTTTGGTGCCACACCCTGAGCATTGCTCAGGGCTGACTCCTGGCTCTGTGCTCAGGGACCTCTCCTGGTGGGGCTTGGGGGACCATATGGGGCATCGGAGATAGAAACTAGGTTGGCCACGTGCAAGGCCAGCGCCCTCCCCGCTGTCCTCTGGCTCCGGCCCCACCTCTGGGTATTTCCCGGCCAGTCATGTTCAACGATCTGACCTTCTTCCACTCTGTCCTTTCCCACTCAGAGTCTAAGCTCCCAACACAAACCCTCGTCGCTCCCCAAGGCCAAGCCGTACCTGCAGGAGCTGAGTGGCCGTGGCTCTCTGCTCGGGGCTCTTCACCAGACACTGCTTCACAAAATCCATGAAGCTATCCGACCACAGCTCCGGCTTCCGGAAGGTGGGAGGAGGGTTCGTAGGAATCATGAAAATCGCCTGGTTGAAGAGAGAAGGTTCTGGGAAAATGCCGCTCGGCGAGAAAGACGGGTAACAAAATTCCCTGAACACATACTTTTGCTCTTTCTCGTGGATGAGCCCATGTGAACATCAACGAAAGTGAAAGGAATCTCAAAACAGCAAGCACGGCAATGAGACCCTGATGGAGAACTGTCCCTTCCTCCCACTCCCTTCCCTCCCCATGTCCCTCTTCCCTACATCTCCGACACCTAGCCCGCACAATGCCCGACATAACACTAATGGTCTTTGTTTCTGCTTTTTGGCTCAGCACAGTGCAGCGGCTTCCAGACGTATGATGCAGATCAGACCTAAGAGTATCAGTGTCCTGAGAGCAGCCCCAGGGCTGAAAGGTTCCCTCCGCCCAGTTACCAAAGCATCACTTTATAGACCAACGGCCCCTCGGGAGCTGAGCCCAGAAACGCCGGCTCTCAAACAAAAGGAATCCATCAGACCCCAAGCCACATCTGTACCACATACTTGGAAAAAAATATTAGGGGCCGAGACTCTATACTGCAGTTACACTCGACTAATAAGAGACTCATTCTTCATTGAGTTTTCTGCTTACTGCAGTAAGCAACCTAAATTAACCTAAATGAAGTATATTTTGTGGGGGTGTTTAAGTCACTTCGAGCAGTGCTCAGGGCTTACTCCTGGCAGGCTTGTGGGTGCCAGGAGATCGAACCCAGATTGGCTGCATGCAAGGCAAGCTCTATCTACTGTACTATTGCTCCAGGCCCTAAATAATATTCTTTAAATTTACAAATATAACCAGTAATTCCTCCTGTCCTTTTCTGGTTTTGCCTGCACCGCCGAGCCCCACCCCGCCGAAAAAAGAGGAAATCTAATCTTTGGACCTGGTAATACTTTGGTTGCCTTTTGTTTGGGGGCCACCCCTGTACCAATCTGCATCTGTACCTTTCCATCTGACTGACTTCCCTCGACATGATACCCTCTAATCCCACCCACTCCCTCTGACTGATTTCACTCCGCATATACCCTCTAATCCCACCCAGGTAGTGGCAAGCTACGTGACTTAATTCTTTTTTTAACCACTGCATAGTATTCCAACGTGCAAATATACTAGGACTTTGTCATTTATTCAGTCAAACATGTAGGTTGTTTCTGTATCTTTGCTCTGTATTAAGTACTAGAATAAACATAGGTGTGCAAATATCCTTTAAGAAAGAACGCTTCTGTGTTTGGCGGGTAGATGCCCAGAAGTCAAACCGCTAGGTGGTATGGGAGTTCTCGACTTACTTTTTTTGAAATCAGTAAGATGGAAAGGGGCAGAGAGAGACTGATACAGGGGTGACCACCAAACCAAAAACAATCAAAGTAATAACATGTCCAAGGATTAGCTTCCCCCTTTGTTTCAGCAAGCTGGGGGGTCGGTGGTGCAGGCAAAAATAGAGAAGGACAGGAAGATTTACTGGTCAAATTTTTTAACTTGTATTTATGCTTTTTTAATGGAGAATGAATTATGAATTCATTATCTATTATGAATTATGAATGAATTGCGGAGGAGCTGCAAGGCTGGGGGTATGGAGAGGGCCGTGGGGGCCCCTGGGGGGCACGGCGGGGACAAGATTCTAACACGGCTTCACTGCTTAGATGCGACTCTGAGGGAGTGTCAGCAAAACTGCGTCTGGGGCACTGACAGTCTAGAGAGGCAGGGAGGCTGGATGGCGCCCAGCCTCTAGGGGCCAGGCAGGAAAAGGCTCAATTACAGGAGTAAGAGCTCAAGAATTCAGTTTACCTTCCTCTCAATACCACTCTAAGAGAGACACGAACAGATACACTGCGATGAGGGTCAACTGATGCTTGATGAAGAGGAATTTGTGGCACAAATTGCGTGGAAAGCCTGTGTTCAGCAGAAGAGAGAAGACCAGGGCTTGGCTCCAGTTAATGACGTCATGTGAAAATGTGGGTACATGAACTATTCATATATAAACATGTGTGTATATATGTGTCCTTGCGCACACGCACACATGGATTCTGTGATGTGCTAGAGAGCTACCAATACCCAATACGCCACCTCTGACATGGAGATGAGTGGATTTCACGTGAACTGATGACTACAACCAGAGTTCATGAAAGTGTCTCATGCAGCATCTAGACTGATACTTAAGAATCCTACAACGCTCAGGTATTGTTCGGTGCCTAACAAGTCAGCCATTTCACTGACTTTTCAATGACGACCAGGAACTGACCACCCTGCTGGCCTCCTGTCCATTTCCTTACCCTCATCGGGTGAATGTCGGCATAGGGGGGTTTCCCTTCAGCCATTTCTATAGCCGTTATTCCCAGGGACCAGATGTCTGCCACACAGTTGTACCCAATTTCCTGAATCACTTCTGGAGCCATCCAAAATGGTGTTCCTATCACTGTATTCCTCTTGGCCATGGTATCCTAAAAGAGAAACGACAGACTTCAACACAGCGCATTAAAAACTCTTGAGGGCTAGAGGAAGAGTAGAGGGATAGTACCTTTTTTTTTTTTTCGCCTTTTGGGTCACACCCGGCAATGCACAGAGGTTACTCCTGGCTCTGCACTCAGGAATTACTCCTGGCGGTGCTCGGGGGACCATATGAGATGCTGAGAATCAAACCCAGGTCAGCCGCGTGCAAGGCAAATGCCCTCCCCGCTGTGCTATCGCTCCAGCCCAAGGGATAGTACTGTCTTGCATATGGCTGACCCCAGTTAATTCCCAGCACCGTGATCACGGCCCTCTGGGCAGGCCTGGGATCAACCCCTGAGCAAAGAGGAGGGTCAGAATCAAACCGGCCTTCTGAAGGAAAAGCATGTTCTGCACACACTCACCCACTGAGCTATTTTTCTAGCCCAAGAGAGTTTTTCAAAACTAAGAAATGGTTTGATTTTCTATAACACATAAAAAAAATTTTCAAAACATTATTAGTTAAGTAACAAAGGAATTAAGAATTAGTTAAGAATTGTTAAGTAACAAATCATCGCTAAGACTGACAAATATGGGAAAAAGTAATAACTTGTGCTGATAACAACATAGAAAATCAGGCACTGAAATACATTACTGAGTACCAGGAGGTTCACTCCACGGCTTGGAGGCCAGCCGCACACGCTAGGGAAAAAGGCAGCTCAGATAGAGAAGGGAGCACCAAGTAAAGGGTGTTGGGAGGATCCTCCTAGGATGGAAGCTGCGTGCTGAGAGTAGACTCTAGACCGAACATGATTGCCACTCATTGCCTCTTTTGCAAACCACAGCACCCAGAAGGAGAGAGAGAAAAAAGGGAATGCATCCCACCACAGAGGCAGGGTGGGTTGGGGGGATGGGGGTAGGGGTTGGGAGGGATACTGGGATTCGTGGTGGTGGAGAATGGGCACTGGTGGAGGGATGGGTACTGGATCATTGTATAACTGAAACCCAAGCACAAAAATTTGTCAGTCTACAACTGTACCTCAGGGTGTTTCACTAATAAAAGTAAAAAAAAAAAAAAGATATACATTACTGAAATTGGTTCAACTTATCGCGGGGTTGAGGGGCCCACACCCAGCAGTGCTTAGGGCTTACTCCTGACTCTGCTCACTCCTGAGGACTCCGTGGATTATATGGCGTGCAAGCGTTCTACACCCAGTCCCTGATTCAACTTTTTAGTAGGTCGTTTTGAGAATATGTCAACGTTTAGTAAATGTCATTATTTGATGCTAACTGTTTGAAATTTTTTATCACATAAGTACAAATTTAATTAGTATGGGGGGCTGTTTTGGTTTTCTGGGTGTTTTTGGTTTGGGGGCCACACCTGGAGTGCTCAGGGCTGACTGCTGGCTCTGTGCTCGGAGATCACTCCTGGTGGGTTCAGGGGAACACTGGGGTTGTCGGGGATCAAAACTGTGTTGGCCACATGCAAAGCAAACACCTGACCCACCACACTATCGCTGCAGCCCCTGACTGTAAGAGTTGCGGAAGATAATCTACAGCGTGAGGCCTCCCAATTCAGTTTTACTCTTCAGAATTGCTCTGGCTAGTCAGGACCTTTTGTGGTTCCACAGAAACTTGAGGTCTACCTCTGTGAAAAATACCACTGGAATGTTTAAGGCAACGATACTATATCTATGAATGGCTTTAGATAGATAGGATGAATATGCAACCAATGTTAATTATTTAGCATACTACTTTATTTTCAGATTGCCCACTGCTAACATATAGTAATTTAAGAGAACACTGTATATCACATATTGGGATACTCCAATGCTGAACAAACTTGCTTACAATAAGGTAATATTAATACCTTATTATTGTTTTATTATTATTATTTTATTATGGTCAATTTGACAAACTGACCACACTATTATTAATTTATTAATAATTAAGTTTGGTAATGAACTTTTATTAATATTAAATTGATAATGATGCTGGTGTTAATTTATTAATATATTTAACATTGACAATATTACTAAGTAATGTGAACAAGTGATATCTTCTCATCTGTGTCCTCTTCCTTTCATCGATATTTTATAACTTATAATACAGTATAACTTTTATTTGCCTGTCAAAGTTGTCCATAAGCACTTTATTTTTAGTGCTATTGTCAGTGAAGCTACTTCAACTAAAATGCTCTAACACAGCGAAAAAAAAAAAGCAGCAAAACAGAATGAATAGAAAACCCACAATATTAGCGATCCATTAACCTGGTATGGGATTAATATCCAAAAAAATATAAGGGGGGCCGGAGCGATAGCACAGCAGGGAGGGCTTCTGCCTTGCACACGGCCGACCCAGGTTCAATCCCCAGCATCCCATATGGTCCCCCAAGAACCGTCAGGAGTAATTCCTGAGTGCAGAGCCAGGAGTAACCCCTGAGCATCACTGGGTGTGACCCAAAGAGCAAAACAAAACAAAAAAATACAAGAAACTCAAACAACTTAACAACAACAACAACAAATCAGTTTTTCAAAAGGCAAAGTACCTTATAGACATTATTTAAAGAAATCGTACAAATGGCCGGCAGGCACATGAAAAGAAGCTCAACACCAGTGACCACTGCAGAAAGGCACAAACCAAAACCACAATGAGGCGTCACCTGTGGCCTGTGCAAACGAACCCTCTCTGGGATGGTGAGAGTAAATTAGTGGCCCCTCGCATGGTGCTGGCGGAGGCTGAGCTGCTGCAGCCCCTCTGGGTGACGGCACCGAGTCCTCCAAACATCAAACACAGAAATACCAGATGGTCGAGCCGTCCCAGTAGTGGGGGAGAAAACAAGTGGTGGGGAAAACGTAGCCGTGAGTGACTACAACTAATCCATGTAGGAAAGCTTTTGTTGTTATGTTTAAGGCACGGCCAGCAGTGCTCAGGGCTTACTCCTATTTCAGTGCTCAGGGGTCAGGCCTGGTGTGCTCAGGAGTGCCAGGGATTGAACCTGGGCATGCAAGACAAGTGCCCTACCACTGTACCATCACTCCGTTCCCGAGAATTATAATTTTTTATTTATTTATTTATTTTGCTTTTTGGGTCACACCCAGTGATGCTCAGGGGTTATTCCTGGCTCTGCACTCAGGAATTATTTCTGACGGTGCTTGAGGGGCCATATGGGATGCCAGGAATTGAACCCAGGTCGGCCACGTGCAAGGCAAACACCCTACCCGCTGTGCTATCGCTCCGGCTCCAAGAGAATTATAATTTTAAAATAAAGAAGCAAAAGAAATTCTTTCATCGATACAAGTGCCATTTTTACTCACTGTAAGTTGACCTGCCACACCAAAATCTGCAAGTTTCGCATGTCCTTCTGTATTTAGCAAAATATTTCCTGCTTTGATATCTCGGTGTATTTTTCTCATAAAATGAAGGTATTCTAGTCCTTTGAGTGTTGACTGTAATATCGTAGCTATTTCATCTTCTGTTAACTGAAGAAAAACACACACATATACACACAAATGAAAAATAAGCCAGAATTCTATCAACTTACACCATCATTTCTTTTGCTTGCTGGTCTGGGTTTGGGGACCATACCCCGTGGTGCTCAGGACCTACTCCTGGCTTAGTGCAGGAGGACCATATGCAGGGCTGGGACTAGAGGCCAACCATATGCAAGGTGAACACCATACCCCTGTAACTCTCTCTGGTTCCTACATGGACATATTAAAGTTATTACTTACAACTTTGCAAATACTTTATATATTATTGCTACTCTTTTTTCCTTTTATTTTTTTTTTTAAGGCTAAGAAATCCCCTACTTCTACTCTTATCTACTACAGCCCACAGAGAACCAAGTTATCTTGGCATCTTTCATGTGTGTGCATGTGCGCACCAGGAATCACATCTGGGCCCTCCTGTGTGCAAGAATGTGATTAACTGCTGAGCTACATCTCGACCACAGACCACAGCTATCTTTTAAAAATCAAAATCGGGGCCAGAGCGATAGTACAGCGGGGAGGGCGTTTGCCTTGCACACGGTCGACCCGGGTTCAATTCCCTGCATCCCGTATATGGTTCTCCAAGCACCGCCAGGAGTAATTCTTGAGTGCAGAGCCAGGAGCAACCCCTGGGCGTCGCTGGGTGTGACCCAAAAATAAAAAAATAATAATAAAATTAAATTAGAGTAAAAATAAAAATCATACGGCTTATTCAACATGCTTAGAAATGGTCCCACCGGACTCAAGATAAAACTGAATATGCTCAGAGCCCACAATACCCAACAAACCCTGCCCAGCCTACACCCACCCCTCAGACCTCCCCTCCTGTTTCTCCACAGTAATGGTGGCCTTGGTTTTTTCTTTGTTTGGGGGCCACACCTGGCGGTGCTGTAGCAGTGTTTGCGATCAAAACTGGGGGTGGCGGGGGGGGGGGGGGGCCTGCATGCACAACATATGTTCCACCCTCTGAGCTCTCTCCCCGAATCTTCTCACACTCAAATGCGCCAAATTCATTCAGGACCTGAGCCCTGGTGATTCTCCTAAAAGGAATGTTTTAGAACTCCTAGCTCTTTCTTGCTCATCAAGTTTTAAGTCCAGTCCAGGGGACTGAATCAGGGCTGGCCGCAAGGCAAGTCTGCCTTATCTGCGAAACTATTTCTCCAGTCTCTCAAGTTTTTGACTTTAAATGTTATTTCCTTTAAAAAATACATTTTTTTAATTAAAAAAAGAAGTTACTTCCTTAAGAGAAGAGGCCTCTCTCAACCGTTTGCTCTGAAGTAACCCCTCATCGCTCTCTCTCACTACCCTCATTAATTTTCTTCACAGTGGTTAACACTGCTTGCTCTTTCTTTTCCGGTTATGACAAATTTGCTTTTTGTTGCTCTACTAGAAAACCAGGGTAGTAGGATTCAGACCTTACTACCAGATTCTTAAAGCTCGGAAAGTTAAATTGTATTTGTGGTTCATATTTTTACTGCACATTTCATATTTGCTAAATAAAAAGTTTCAGGAACTGAATCAGAACTCGTACCCCAAACTTAAAATTAAATACTGAAAACTCATTGCTTACCCAGGATTTGGTAATCAATTCTTCCCAGCAGAAAAAATAAATAAATAAGCAAAACACAATAAATATCACGATATAAGGTTGGTGTCCAAACTGTCATGCTGAGAAAATACCAAAAGGCAGGAGTATTGTTAAGGAGCATGAAAGGGTGGAAAGCTGAGACTCATCCCTGAGGACACGGTAGCAGCAAATAAAAGGTCACCGAATAAAAGGTCAGAGAGGGGGAAATGATGGCCAAAGAGACAAGCTCACTGTTCGCGAAGGCAGCCTTACCGTCTTATTTCGGAGGCGGATGATATCGGACACAGAGCCAGCCCCGCAGTACTCCATGACAATCCACAGGTCAGTGTTCTTAAAGTAACTGCCATAATATTTGACGACGTGAGGGCTGGAGAGAGCCAACAGGTTAGTGGGGCGGCCTGGGAAGACCTCCAAGGATTCATGCTGCGAGCTACTTCAAAATGAATTTCTCAGCTCAGGTCAAATTCTCATATTTTTAATGTTAAAATGAATACAACCCTGATAAGAATGCAAAAATAATATGACTTTTCTCGGAGCTGGAGCGGTAATACAGAGGGTAGGGCATTTACCTTGCATGCGGTCAACCCGGGTTCAATTCCCAGCATCCCATAGGGTCCCTCAAGCACCACCAAGAGTAATTCCTGAGTGCAGAGCCAGAAGTAACCCCTGTGCATCGCCGGGTGTGACCCAAAAAGCAAAAATAACGTAACTTTTCTGGAAGTCCATAAATAATGGATGTGCGAAAATTTGGTGGGTCCTGGGGCCAGGGAGATGGCTCAAAGGGCTGGAACCACTGGCTGGCTTCTCCCAGCTCCAATCAAGTCTGGAGTCATGAATAGCTCCGGGTGGTACCCAGGGAATCCTGCGGAGCAGAGGACTGAACACAGGGCTCACTCACGCGGAGCATACAGAACATGTCCTCCGGCCCTTTGAGCAGTCTCCCTGGCCCTAGGTAAGTTTCTTACAGGGCAGATCAATACACTTGTTCTCTCTTCCCTAAATGTCTATATTTACTGCCCCAATGGGGTAATTGCCATTGATACTGCTGGCATGGCATTCTATACAATCGTACTGTTCACTAGCTTTTCATATCAAAATATTAACTGGGCCTATCCATTTTGTCTCAAGAATGAAAACCCGTTCTACACTTCTTTATTTTTGTTCTAACGCTTAGGTTCTTCAATATAACCCTTTTATTAAGGATGTCTGTATACCCCGTTTAAACCACAGCTCTTCCAGAGTCTATCCAGAGTCTGATGGGTAACAAAGAGATAGAGCAGTGGGTAGGGCACTGGCCATGCATATGGTTCCAACACCCAGGTTGAATCTCCGACATCCCATATGTTCCCCTGACTACTGCCTGTAACAATTCCAGAACGCAGAGCCAAAAATAAGCCCTGAGCACAGCCAGCTGTGGGGGAAAAAAAATTTTTTTTTTCTTTAACTCTGAAGCACAATTTACCAGTTGAAAAGAAGTTTCCATATTCTATCTGAGGTGGAAAAGGGACACTGCTATCTCACTCTGATCAAACTGACGAAGAAATGGCAGCATTTTATCTAGTACAGAACCACTACGAGCACGTGAAGGATGAAAGGCAGGAAGAAGAAAGAAGAGAACTGACTGCACTCACAAGTCTGGGCAATGGAAGGACACTGGGGCAGACATCCCAGAGGGAGACCCACTTGTCCTGAAGCTGAAACTACACATTGCAAGGACTCAGTTGAACAGCTGATGGTGAGGGCAAGAGCAGAATGAAGAAAGCCTTGAGTATTAACACTTTCTCGTTCCCCTTTCAACTCCCAGGAGCTGGCACGGTTCCTAGCTTTCGTGTTTTTCTCAAACTGACACAGGACGGGGAAACCCTGCCCCATCACCAAGCCCTTCTATCATGAAATTTCAGAGCAAACCACGTGCTTTTCTGTGGTTTACTGCTGGTCTGGCTTCCTGCTTATAGCATTTGACAAATCTTAGTTCCCCAAAACTAAAATACATAACGCTTAGCTCGATTATGTTTTTAAGTGTGAAGGGATGGATAAATAATGGTAAGTATTCTCTTTTAAGAACTCTGGTAGTCTTAAGGTTCCTATTTCTGAATGATCTCGTCTTCTTAGCTGTCTCTGCAGAAATGTTTTCTCAATAGGAAGTAGAAGAGATCGTTATCAAAAAAAAAAAAAAACCACCTTCTCTGCCTCTACTTCCTAGTTTTATAAAGGGCTGACTGAAAAAAAAAAAATAGAAAAAAACCATGCAGCGCAGTAATCGAAACTAGAAAAGTTTAAACACTAAAACAAACTTTTCATCATGTTTTTGGGAAAAGAGTTCCTATTCAATTTTCTCTTTCATATTTAAACAAAAAGGATTTCAACGTGACAATCTAAATCATCTAAAAATCTACCTCTAACTAAGCACAGCAAACGCAAGATCATGTTCACTCCGAAGTAATAACATGTGTCTTTACCTGTCACACTGTTGCATTATAGAGATTTCTTTGATTATTTCCTGCAGGTCTGATTCCACAGGAACTTGCTTAATTGCGACTATCTGACCCGTCTCTTTATGAATAGCTTTGTACACACTGCCATAGGACCTACAGGAGAAGAAAACATTTATAGAGTCAAGGCGAGAGATAAAAATTGACAAAAACAAAAGCAACTCGGAGTTCTGATACTTCTCAGTCAGTGCCTGGTATCTAAGTATGCAGTATGTATACTTGCAAAACTGAAATAGTTAATGTCCTTTTGGAAACACTGGTATCAAAGGAAATAACACAGGGCCACAAATAGTACAGTGGGTAAAGCGCTTGCCTTGTGCGTGGCTGACCCAAGTTCGATGCCTGGGGTCCCTTAAGCATATTCAGTGATTTCTGAGGGAAGAGCCAGGAGCTCAGCCCTCAATTATCACAGGGTGTGTGGCCCCCCCAAAACAAAACAAAGAACTAAGACGCGATAGCACAGCGGGTAGGGTGTTTGCCTTGCATACAGCCGACCCGGTTTCGATTCCTCCATCCCTCTCGGAGAGCCCAGCAAGCTACTGAGAGTATCCCGCCTGCACTGCAGAGTCTGGCAAGCTCCCCGTGGCATATTCGATATGCCAAAAGCAGTAACAACAAGTCTTACGATGGAGACGTTACTGGTGCCCGCTTGAACAAACCGATAAACAACAGAAGAACAGTACTACAGTGCTACCACCAAAAAAAAAAGTATTATTTTTGGCCAGAGAAGTAGCTCAGTGGTAGACACTTTACTTGCATGCTTGAGGCCTTGGGTTCAATACAAACACACACATACACACACACACACTCTTAAAAACATTAAAAATGACTGGCTGTATTAGTATTAACTATTATATAGCTATCAAGCATAATGAACTTGCCTATTAGAAACGGATCATTTCCAGTCGTTCTTAAAAAAAAAAAATGAAAACGTTACCATCCTAATTTGACAGGAAAATGTTGCAAGCTCAGATACTTGCCCAAGATAACATAAGTGAGTAACAAGCTTGGTCCACATAAGTGAGTAACAAGCTTGAACCCAGGCTGTGTCCTGCTGAACACTGAGTCTCACGTTCCCTCCACATCTATCCAGATTTAATATGGAAGCAGAGGTATCTACTTTCTTGTATTCACTCTAGTATCATGAGGTCTTTCAGTCCTTGCTCCTCTTCCTCTTGCAGTACTTAAAATGAAAAAATTAGGGGCAAGAGCCATAGTACAGCGGGTGGGCCCTTTGTCTTGCACACAGCTGACCTGGGTTCAATTCCGGGCATCCGATATGGTCCCCGAGAACTGCCAGGAGTAATTCCTGAGTGCAGAGCCAGGAGTTACCCCTGAGCATCGCCAGGTGTGGCCAAAAATAAATAAATAAAACAAATGAATAAAAATCAAAGCTTATTTATATTTATAAGCCCCTGTAAATGCTAGTATCAGGCGACCAGAGCACATACACAGTTTTACCCTTTCACTCCATCTTTCCTTAAAAGCTTGTTATCAAAATAAAAAAAGCTGATGTATCAGCTCAACTTGGAGGCTGAGAGAACAGCCTATTTAGAACCGCAAAGACCTAGGATTTTAGTCAGTTATTATTTACAAATATATTACTATCCTTCCTGTGTCTCAAATTTCTCAGCTACAAAACAACCACAAAGACAACTGTGATGTTCAAATAAGGTATCATTATCATCCTACATAAATTACATTCCTCCTGGAATAGCTGTCAATGAAAAAAAAAATGAGTAAACTGTATCACATATTTCCCAAACACTCCTGTTCCTTCATACTGTCTGGATATGAAGAACAAACAAACAAAAAAATTCAAGTTACAATACAACTTAATAAATCAAAGAAGTAACTAAAGGCTCTAGCTGCCTGAAAGGTAGTTTAAAATTGTTTCAATGTGAAAATAATATAAGCATTCTCTTTACAAAATAATAACAATCATGGTCTGTGCAGATCACATTTAAAAACTTATTTCATGAAAATACTTTAAATTTGAAATTTCTGCATAACAGTCCTTCAACGCTGGGTATAGTTTTGGGGTCAGAGAAAGGCAACCACTCCCCTACATTACTGCTAATGCCCCCCCACTCCACTCTGTTCCGGTGGCAACGCTTGGTGCCAAGGTATGGTAGTTCACGTCAGTTGACAGAATTCTCACTCACGATGGGGTTGAAGCCGTGGTAAGATGATGACTCAGTTCTGGTCAACGAAATCCGAGGGAAATTCTTTTGAAGGGTTTCTGGGAAGATCCTTCCCAGAAGAACAGAGAAAAACACACGAGAAAGCCCACTTTCACCCGCCGCCGCCTTCCCAGTCTTGGTGACAGCCATGTGAGGCCTGGTGCTGGAAATGAGTGCAGCCCTCTCGAAACCAGGAGAAATACACCCAAGATGCTGAAAGCGATCAACCATTATCCATGGATTGAACCTTCCTGGAAGCAATCACCTCCAGATTAACTGTGACTTAGTTATTCAACCCCCCTTATCAGTCAGTCACTGTTGGTTGAGTCGTTTCTCTCATCCACGAGGATTCGTGCCCATCTTCACGTCCTCTTGATGCTGGAGAGTCGGGCGGGAGACAATTCTCCCTTGACCATCGCTTCCTCGCAGCACTTTTAATGCAGTTTCCCAGCTTCTACTGTCGCCATCAACAGATGATCACTGTTCATGGGTCATGATCTCTTTTCTGCAGCCTTTGGGAGCTCCTCCTTACCATTAATATTCTCATAATTTACTGTAATACAACTAAAAATTGACTTCATAAGCATCTTCGGTCTGAAGGCAGAGGTCTTACCTCTGGTTTAGAAAATTCTTAACGTTGTTTCCCTTGTCCACTCTACCTCTTCAAACAGTTCCTTCTAAAATTCCTACTGGGACTATATTGATTTCTTTAATACCAGTCTTTTTATTTTCTTTTTGGGTCACACCCAGCAATGCTCAGGGGTTACTCCTGGCTTTGCACTCAGGAATTACTCCTGGCAATGCTCAGGGAACCATATGGGTTGCTGGGAATCGAACCTGGGTCGGCCGCATGCAAGGCAAACACCCTACCCACTGTGCTATCACTCCAGCCCCTAATCCCAGTCTTTTTCACTTCCAACATTATATTGCTCAACCTGTATTGCGTAGGGTCTCTTTTGTGTGTGTGTTGGGTGTGGGGGGGGGCATACCCACCCAGGTGGGCCCAGGGCTTATTACTGACTCTGCTCAGAGATCACTCCTGAAGGTCCCTGGGGGACCATGGGCAGTGCAGGGTGAGTGCCTTACCCCCCATACTATCTCTCCAGCCCCAGATCCATTATTCACTTTCAAGTTCACAATTCTCGTCTCGGCTTGTCTAATTCACTCACTGTCTGTCCAATGTATGGAGCTATAAAATTTCAACAATTATAGTTTTCCTGGTCAAGATTCCCCACCCTTTTCCAAAAAGCTGACTCTCAATGCTAACTGTCTTGTGCTCTATCAGGAGTGTCGTTTCTGGGGCCGGAGGAGGGCAAAGGGGGCGGGCGTGCGAGCTTTGTAAGCTGAGCCCCAGCTCGACCCACAGTACTTGCTGGTTCCCAGGCCCGCAGGCCTGCCTCCTGAGCTGGGAATACTCCACGTACGGCCAGGAGTGGCCTCCCCCAAAAGGGAATGTTATTTCCATCTTTCATCTTCTGGAAAATCATATACACACAAGCCAGATCCTTTTCCACACTGCTCCCTCATGTCTTATTTCCAAGGGAGGGGGTTCTCCCATCTGGTGGTTCTGCTCATCACCTGGAGGCAGTGATCTACTGTCAGAGGCTCCCCTCTTCCTGTAGGGTGGGGGAGTGGGCACACCCAGGGCAGCTCAGGGTCCGGGAAAGCATGTGGCACCCAGAATAGAATCAGGGTCAGCTACAGGCAAGGCCTTAATCTCTCTCCCTTCTCTGCTGTTCTCAGGGGTTTCCTTTTCTCTCAAATGATACTCCGTCACACAGTGCTCACTCTCCTGGACTCTGCAGGTGGTCCCGATGGTTTCAGGGTTCCCTCAGCCTTGTCAGCTAACCTGTACAACTTAAATCAGTTTTTGGGGTTTTTTTGTTTTGCATTTTTTTGCTTTTTGAGTCACATCTGGAGACGCTCAGGGGTGACTCCTGGCTCTGCACTCAGGAATTACTCCTGGCAGTGCTCAGGGGACCATATGGGATCGAACCTGGGTCTGCCACGTGCGAGGCAAACGCCCTCCCCGCTATCCTATCATTCTGGCCCAAATCCGTTTTTATTTTAGGAGCTTCTGAGCTGTGCCTCTCAAAACACCAAGCCTGACTGCAGCGCGATAGTCACCCTACTATCACGTGATAGTCACCCTACTATTACGCTGGAATCTCCACTGTTTCCCAGGCCACAAGCCCGAGATGCTTGCTAGGAGTCATCCGGCAATTTCTTTCAACTGTGGTCAATGAACGGGAAGCTCATCCCCACCCACGACTTCACACAGAAGGCCCATGGCAATTTCCTTATGAAGAAAGGACACGCTCTACCTACCTCACCATAACCAATACCGGCCTTACCCCTCATCCATAGCTGGATAAGCATCCTTAGGTTTTCATATCCTTAATTGTCATTCATTGTTACATATCTGAAGTGCAGTATTACAGATGGCCTCACGCTCACTTGTGGGCAAGTTTCTTTTTCCTTTTTCTTGTTTTGCAGTGCTCAAGGTTCACTCCTTGTTCTGCACTCAGTAATTACTCCTGGCTGTTCTTGGGGCACCACATGGGATGGCAGGGATCGAGCCACGTCAGCTGCATATAAGGCAAGCGCCCTACCCACTGTACTATCAACTGGCAAGTTTCTTGAACCCTGATATTCTGTCCCCCAAAAATGAGGTAATTCGAATAAACCAGGGGTCCAGAAAGTTTGGGGCCTACCGAACGGTGCTCAAGGCTTAAACCTGGCTCTGTGCTCAGGGAACATTCCTCATGGTGCTCAAAGACCATATGTCACTGTCACTGTCCTCCCGTTGTTCATCGATTTGCTCGAGCGGGCCCAGTAACATCTCCATTGTGACACCTGTTACTGTGTTTGGCATATCAAATACGTCACTGGTAGCTTGCCAGGCTTTGCCATGCGGGCGAGATACTATCGGTAGCTTGCTGGGCTCTCAGAGAGGGGTGGAGGAATTGAACTCGGGTCGGCCACGTTGGCTGCTTGCAAGGCAAACACCCTACTCGCTGTGCTATCACTCCAGACCCAAGACCATATGCCACACAAAAAAAAAAAAAAAAGAGCCAGGCCAACAGCATCTCCAGCCCCAACGCAACGAAATTCAACTGTCAGAGCACAAAGATGATACAGGAAGTAGATATTTCTCCAGACATACAAGTGGAGGATCAATGTGAAAAACAAGAACTACAACGGCTCGCTTGTGAGTCCCAATTCAGTGTGTACACATCGAGACCTTACCCCTCACTAGCTACGGAGCCTCAGGCAAGATGCTTTTGTTATTATCCAATAATTAAAATCTTAAATAAATCCATTTGCAGAAGAATAATAGGGGAAAAAAAAACATTAATTCCAAACACTTTCCAAAGGCTGTTCACTTATCCTGGTCGGGAGTTTTGACTCTGCCACAGATCCACATGACCTCTTCAAAACACAGCCCAGCTTTGCCTCTGGCTTCAGGACAATCTTTTACCCGGGTTCCTCGCATAAGGTGGAAGTCAGTAGGAGTTCAGTCTTTTCATTCTTTCAGGACCATTTAAAGGTGACATTAAGTTTGTTTGATGAAAGAAACTGAAATTCATTTCTTCCTTCAGGTGAGTGACGTGTCTTCGGATCTGTTCAATTGAAGGAAGGTCTCCAAATGCTTGTGGTATCATTTGTAAGAACAATACAGTGGCAACATGAGAAGATATTAAGTATTTCCCCTGATGATGTCTTTACAGAGACAGTTCCAAGTTCCCTGATGAAAATATCCATAGCCCTGAAACACAATTTAAAATCATTATTAGCTTAGTTTTCCTTTATTATTACAGTCCTAAAATATTCTCTATATTTTTTTGTTTAGGCATCCCCCCCAAACTCAATCAGGACTACTTTCAAGAATAGCCAAATACGGTTGGAAAGAGAGCACAAGGGGCTAGAGCACACGCTTCTCATGTAGGGGGCCCAGGTGTGATCCCTGGCATTGTGTGGGTCATCGGTAAGAGAGACCCCTGAGCAGAGAGTTGGGGTTCCCTGAGCACCAGGAATAGCCAAATCCATTCCCTCCACCCTCCAAAGAACACCTACTTATTGAATATACTTTCAGGCATAAGATTTAACATGAAAAGGTCTGAAAAACTGTTCTATTAAAATGCTTAAAAACAGACTAAATAGATATCAACTACTGATGACTAAGTGGCATAAATGGTACAATATACACTTGACACCCATTATTCCAAGGAATACTACTATTATCCCCTCTCTAGCCAAGGGTGTAGAGCTTAAAAAATATTAAGCAATTACGGGCCAGAGAGATAGGGTAGGGCACTTGCCTTGCACACAGCTGTACTAGATTTGACCCCAGGCACCACAGATGGTCTCCTGAGCCCCTACCAGGAGTCAGCGCTGAGCACAGTGCCAGGAGGAAGCCCTGAGCACAGCTGGGTGTGGCCCCAAAACATTAACAAATAAAAACCTAAAACTGTTGATGCTTATTTTTTTCTTATCACCCATAAACAAGAGGAAGGGTTTTAGTTCAGAATGAACTCCGGTAACCAGACACACTAAAAGTGAAAGAGACCAGTTCATTAAACAGGCGTGATTCCAAGCACAACCTGTGAGCACAGTGAAAAACGAAGGGCCTTGGAGTAAGGAGCGATAGGAAAAGAGCGAGTGGTGCAGTTAGAAAGTGGCGGGCCAGGGGCAGAGGGCTCTTACCTCGTCGACACCAGCGGCCGCGGTCTCCGCTACATCCCATATTTGTCTTCCAGCACCACAGCTGCCATCATCTTTTACTTCCTTTCTTGGCATGATTTTGCACTTGACTCCAAAGAGCACTTTTTTTTCCAACTCACAAAAAAGATAGTGACTTTTTTTTTAAAAATAAGGCAGAAACCCATGAAAATCTACTCCATGTAATCCAGCATTGGGTTTGACGTTACTGACGATCTATTAGTAGGCATGAATCAGACTAAACCCCCAAATACTCTGCTAGAGGACCTGCTTTTAAAGAACATACGGTAATTAGGCAATAGGCCTCTTTCAGAGCTAAAATACAGGTTTTTTTTCTCTTAAACTAAAAGTATCCCCAGAGATTTAACATGCATATACACATGTGCACACATGCGCACATACACACACATTCTCATATACACACACACACTCACATACTCTCTCACACACACATACCTACACTCTCTCACATACACACAAACACACATTCTCTCTCTCTCTCTATCTCTTTCTCTCTCTCTCTCTCTCTCACACACACACACACACACACGTTCTGATAAACACATCCTAGCTCTAAAGGAAATACAAAATATTGCTAGGTAGGTTGCTTCTGGGTGGCTGAGAGAGAGGAAACGGGGGAGATACTGGGGTTACCTGCACTTTTATGTTTTTTATCATTTTGGATCACAGGAAGTGGTAACCGATTCAAAAATTTACAACACAAACTTAAGGGCTGAGCTGGGGAAACAGGTGAAGAGGCGGGGCACCGTGGGCCGTGTGGGCAAAGAGGGCTGTGCGGGCACCCCTGCACCACACAGCTCCCCACGCACAGTCACAGCGGGCACCGCCAGCCTCAGGACGCCCATTTAGTTCCACCCCAGCTGAGCTCTACGAGAGTGGCCCTGGGAACTGGGAACCTCCACCATTGCTGGGTGAGGGCCCTATTTTAAAAAATTAAATTGGAGCTGGAGCAATAGTACAGTGCGTTAGGCATTTGCCTTGCACACAGCTGACCCGGGTTCAATTCCCAGCATCCCGTATGGTCCCCAGGCACCACCAGGAGTAATTCCTGAGTGTAGGGCCAGGAGTAACCGCCAGGTGTGACCCAAAAAGAAAGAAAAAAAATTTAAGGCTGTCCCTGATATTTGAATGTCCTGCTCATGACAAGAAGAAGTAGGTTATTTTCAGTACCAGAATTAAACTAAAAGGCAATGTAGGATGAGGATGTAGCCCAGCAACAGAGAATTCGCTAAAAATATGTAAGGTCCAGGATTTTATCTCTAGCACCGCAGAAAGTTTTTTTTTAAAAAGTAAAAGTACAGGGGCTAGAGTGATAGCACAGCGGGTAGGGCGTTTGCCTTGCACACAGCCGACCCAGGTTTGATTCCCAGCATCCCATATGGTACCCCGAGCACCGCCAGGAGTAATTCCTGAGTGCATGAGCCAGGAGTAACCCGTGTGTATCACTGGGTGTGACCCAAAAAGCAAGAAAAAAAAAAAAAAAAGAAAGTAAAAAAAATATATAATGCAACCTCTATTATACCATGGAAATCCATGGGGGCCACCATATATTGCTAATTATCATTTTACCAGTATTCTATAAAATCGTTCACAAATCTGGGTTTTAACAACTTAGAACTGGGTTTCCAACTTAGAATTCTGGATCTCTAAGAAAGCTATGAAAGTAAAGAGGGTTCAGAATATATGTATATGTATACACACACACACACACACACACACACACACATATAGGGGCTGGAGCTATAGCACAGAGGGTAGGGGTTTGCTTTGCTCACAGCCGACCCAGGTTCAATTCCCACCATCCCATATGATCCCCTGAGCACCGCCAGGAGTAATTCCTGAGTGCAGTACCAGGAGCAAAGGAGTAACCCCTGTGCATCGCCAGGTGTGACCCAAAAAAAAATTATCAGACTAAATATACATGTTTTTACTGTAGTTTACAAAACTGTACTAACTAAAATGGTGAATTCCGTTTTTCTTTTTTTTTTTTTAATTTTTATTTATTTATTTATTTATTTGCTTTTTGGGTCACACTCAGCGATGCTCAGGGGTTATTCCTGGTTCTGCGGTCAGGAATCACTCCTGGCAGTGCCTGGGGGACCATATGGGATGCCGGGGATTGAACCCAGGTCGGCCACATGCAAGGCAAACGCCCTACCTGCTGTGCTATCACTCCGGCCCGAATTTCATTTTTCATGGGAACAATAAATGCATACTGAACAGAAATACTGAATAAATTTAAATGTCCACTTCATTCTTTAATTAAGTATGAGTTAACTGGTGTTATCTGTCAAACACAAATCCTGCCAACCCAGGACTCTGTAAGAGCAAGAGCAATAAAACAATATGAAGACTCACTAAGTCTCTGCCCAATAACGACGGGAAAGAGAAAAGGGTTGCCAAGCTGCACATCCTCCCAGCCCACACAGGCTGTGCTGACACGAAGACGCCCCTTTCCCCATCGTCAACTTGTGAGTCATTATGAACCTTCAGTGATGAAGGTGCAGCTGCTTCCTGGTGTCAGAGCGGAGACCAGCACCTACAGGCCTGCCTGCATTTTCTTACACTCACTCACCCTTCTCCAAGTTTCTCCAAGACATCAAACACTTCTTCTGGTTGCTTCGTTAAACTATCTTCATCCAACTTCTTCAGCTGCCTGCGTATGAAGAAAAAGAATGCGCTAAAAATACAAAGCACACGGGGCTGGAGCGATAGCACAGCGGGTAGGGCGTTTTGCCTTGCACGCAGCCAACCAGGGTTCGATTCCCAGCATCCCATATGGTCCCCTGAGCACCGCCAGGGGTAATTCCTGAGTGCAGAGCCAGGAGTAAACCCTGTGCATCGCTGGGTGTGACCCAAAAAGCAAGAAAAAAATACAAAATATATGAAGTACGTATGGAGAAATAAAATGCGTTATTACGCAGTAGCAGCTACAGTACCACCCATTACTTACTACACAATTAGCATCTTAGGATTTTTTTTTTACAACATCGTCACTAACAAAGAGAAGCGAGGAAACTTTACAAAGAGAAGGAAATGGCTGCCCTACGGAAGTATGACACTTGTTCTGAGCAAAATCAGGACAAGAGGATGGAGACCAGGGTGAGATTTCAGCAGGAAGGGGTGTAAGAATTTTCTAAGCAGAAAAGTTGTTCCAAGAGACCTGGAGGAAAAGCACTGTGCCTAAGAGCACCTTCCTGACAGTCGTGTGGTCACAAGTCCAACTTCCCGGTGTCCCACGTGCAGTGAGCATCATACCGGCACATCCCCTGGTGGAGCCCGGAAGCTGTGCGATCCCCACTGATTTCCAGCTGTGTCACGGCCAGCCATGTGTGTGAGCGACAGGGCGGGACCTAGGCAACCACCACAGCGACTGCTTCACGCCCCACCAGCGTGGCATGTGTCTCAACTAAGAGCGCAACTCCCCACTGCCCCACCTGCCTGCAAGCAGGTATGCAAACACCACAGGGAAAGGAGAGCAACCCTCGGGGAGCACCGCAGGCAAGAGTACAGGCAGCCAGCGAGCACTGTGAGAAATATGTGAGCAACCAGAGCGACAGCACAGCGGGTGGGTGCTTGCCTGGCATGGAACCAACCAGGGTTCAATCCACAACGTCCCCCACAAGTACCGCCGGGAGTGATCTCTGAGTGCAGAGTCAGAAGTAAACCCTAAACAAGGCGGGGTGTGGCCCAACAAGCCAAAAGCAAAAACCATGCAAGTATGTGTTCGAGAGGGAGCAACCAATCCCCCTGGTCCTTACAACGGTAACAATGAAGGAATAAAGGCTGGAGAAGGGAATGAAAAACAAAAATAGGACAGGAGGGGTTGGAGCGATAGCACATCGGGTAGGGCGTTTGCCTTGCATGCGGCCGACCCGGGTTCGATTCCCAGCATCTCACCCATAGGATCCCCTGAGCACCGCCAGAAGTTAATTCCTGGGTGCAGGGCCAGGAGTAACCCCTGGGCATTGCCGGAAGTGACCCAAAAGGCAAAAAATAATATAATAAATAAATAAAATCATTTTAAAAAAATAGGACAGGATAGATAGTATGGGGATTAGGGTGCTTGCCTCGCACCCCCCAGACCCAGGTTTAAAGTCCCAGCACCACATATGGTCCCCCAGAGATCACCCCGCTGCACCGAGGCAGGAACAGGCCCCAGCACCACTCGTGGGGGCCCGACCTCCCCCACTCCCCAGGAAATACAGTTAAAAATAGACTTGCTTCTACAGATTTGTTCTAAGATGGAGTTGGGGACTTTGTGAAAGCCCGGGTTCCCCGCAGCACTGAAGCGCACCTTGCAACAGGGGTATCCCGTAAATACGGAGAGTCCACGAGTTACAGGGGTGTGGCCACCGCCTCGGAAAGGACACTGCTCTAAGGTTAGCAATGAGCCTGAATGAGGGGCAGAGGCCACGGTAGACAAAAAAATTCCTACTCTCGCTAATCAGTGGCTGAATAAATAGCAGTACTCCTACATAAAAATAAAGAAAAAAATTAAAAATTAAATTTCTACTCTCTCCATCACAGAGCCGGTCAGTGATTTCGTGAGCTTGCAGGCGTTCTAGGGAGGTCGGAGAGGGGGGAAAACGGAACGTATGCACAGCAACCTGACCGACAGTGACAAGGCAGCTGGCAGTTTCAAACGGTCTCCCCCTGCAGACTGCTGGTCCCCTAATCATATATGGCAGCTTCGCATTTCCAGGTAACTCTGGTTTTTCTGGCTATGCTTGAAAACCACTTTAAAGGGAGGGTAGGGATAATAAATTAACCATTAAACTGGGAAAATTATTAAGTTGGTTTAAAGGAGAAGCTGGCTAAGGAATTTGTGTGTGTGTGTGTGTGTGTGTGTGTGTGTGTGTGTATACATGCACGAGAGTCTTCTACACAATGGCTTCCTGAAACGACAAAGGACAACAAAGAAGAGAGAACTAAGGAAATGGTAAAATATAGAAGTGGTCTCACTGGAGATTTCTTTGTAAAGAAAAAAGCTTAAACTCGCTGAACAATACCAATTTTCACAAGAAAAAATAAATAAACTTGAATTAAAAACACACACACAAATGGTTCTCAACTTAGAGAAAAGAACCTCTCTCTAGCACTGAGACTGGAGTAGCCCCCAAGTAACCCAAGTGTTAACCCAAAAGTAAATAAATTACATTTATAAACAAATAAATAAACAAAGGCTGAAAAGTGGAGAAGTGTCCTGGGTCAAATGATCATGACCTAAAAACTTGAAAACTAACAAAATAACCACAATGACCTTTGGAAACCAAAGGGCTTTAAAAATTAAATTCCAATGACATCACAAAAACTCCTAGCCTTAAAACAAAGGGAAGAAGTGAAACTTCCCTTAAAACTCCGAAGTGACACTGCAACAAACTCATAGTTAAAATAAACAGAGCATAAACCAGAATTTTTTTTTTTTTTGGTGAAGCACTGAATTTCTAACTGTATAAACAATGGGCACTGCCTCGTTTCACCAGTATAATTCAAGCCCTATAAACAGTTTATGTAAAGGAAGGTCAAATGTGTCCCTCTGACATGCCGACTTCATGGTTTATAAAAAGCAAAACTCACTATTTGAATTACTCCAGAGACCACAGTCTCACAAAGGAAACGGCCACTACCTTCAGAGATGGCTGCAAGTCGCTGATAATGCTGGACGGACTTTACGGGATTGCTTAAATGCTTCTTGACAACAATCTTAAGTGGCTTTTGTTTGGTTTGGGTTCCAGCTCAAGGGGATTTTTACATCTCTCGGGCCTAATAACTCCGCAGCGGACGGCAAATATTTGCTACGCGGCGTGATGAATAGAATGATGGGACTCCGACCTGCATGAGCGGTCTCTGCAAGTTTCAAAATGAAACAGACGTTTTACCTTCCTTACACACGACTTGATTTTTCCACCAGGAAGGTGTCTGTGGGAAATCCTTTCATTTATTTATTTATTTTTCAGAACGTTTAAAGAGACTTTATGGGAGAAATTCTATAAGCCAAACTGCCAGACTCTGATAGTTCAGGTCCCAGCGGGGATTTCCCCCTGGTCCCTGGTAGTTTCAGATCAAAAACGAAGAGGGTCAGGCCAACACAGCCCCCAGGGACCAAATACAGTGGGTTCTCTCCAAAATGAGAGAGCCAAGCACATGACCAGCACCCCCAAGTCTTCCAGACAGCATTAACTGATGCAGTTCACCTTTCGAAAGCTCTTACACAAGACAAGAGGCTTTACTCTCTCATCGCCACTTAGTCACACACGTCAGGCTTATGAACACAAACTGCACTTCCCGTAGTGTGGCCGCAACCCCTTGCTGGAAATTCAGGCCACCTGAACCTCAGAGAAGACAGCTGCATCGTTCCAAACACAAACGAGGCTGTTCCTGAAGCAGTCCCTCAAAGATCAGGCCCTGTTCTCTTAAAAAGCCTCTTTGCTTCATCTCACTAAGAACTATTTCTCTTCCACAAAAGAAGAGTATACCTGGTATGCTGGAACAAAAACATAAGTGAACTTGAAGAGTCTTGGGGGATGAGGGGGATTATTTTTTTCCATGTCAGGGATTGTACCCAGGGCCTCACTCATGGGAGGCCAGTGCTCCACCACTGGGCCATATTCCCAGGCCCTTGATGAAGTTCTCTTTGGTGATGATGAAACATGTGCCCCTTGGGGTCAGAGCGGATAGGACAGCGGGTAGGGCGCTTGTTTTGCTCGCAGCTGGTCCAGGTTCGATCCCCAGCATCCCATATGGTCCCCCCAAGCACCGCCAGGAGTAATTTCTGAGTGCAGAACCAGGAGTAACCCCTGAGCATTCCCAAGTGTGAACCCCTCCCAAATACACACAAACAAAACAAAAAGGAGGAAGGGTGGGTGGGGGGTAGAGACATAGTAAACTGGGTAAGGCACTGCCCTTGCAAGTGGCCAGTCTGGGTTTGATCCCTGGCACCTTATGTGATTCCCAGAACGCTGCCAGGAGTGATTTCAGAGTGTAGAGCCAGGAGCAAGCCCTGAGCACCTCCAGAAGTGGCCCAAAAAAGAAATGAGTATTCCTTTGCCAAAGATATCACAACACAAGGCAAACGTAGAAACAAAACTTTGAGTCCAAATCCTCCATTCCATTAAGCCAAGACCTCGGAGAAGGAACGGACATACTTGAGAAAAGAAATGTTACCGGCCTACATCTAAAAGGTCCTCGTGGATTTGCTACAGCCAACATTTGCTAACAAACATAAAGCCCTGTGTAACAGGAGCACTCCCAAAGAGGCATCAGAGGGAAAGCAGGGCCCAGCATGGACTTTGGACCAGCCTGATTAATACCCAAGCCCGGCCACCTGGCAAACCACTCTCCACTGCGCGCCTCACTCTGGTGGCCTGCAAAGCAGAGGCATCAAGAGAACCCTCTTAGAGGATTGCTAAGATCCAAGGAGTCCGTAAATCCAAAGACAAGAAACCGATGATTCCACAGGCCCAAGATGCTGGAGCACCAGCAACTTCATCAGGTTCACCAGGCAGAAGGTGCTGGGCACTCGGTGCTATGCCAGGGTCACGGTCCTCCTAATTTCAGCCTCAGCACTCTGCAGCAGGGCGTGGGGCGAGCCACTCAGGCCAGCCAAAGGCATTCTACATGGGCACCTCTGCACAGCCCCACTCCCACGCTGAACACCCTCCTGCTTGGGAGCTCACTGGGCTGTGCCCCCGGCCCCCTCCACCGTGCAGAAAGGCTCCCTCCGTCTCTGCGCTCCACTTCACACCGGTGCCACCTGGGCACGGGCTGCCACCGGGCCAGGCGAGGCCACCTCCGGGGGAGAATGACCTGAAACAGCTCCTGGTGGGAGTTGGGGTTCGGCAGCAGATGCCCACGGAGCACTGGGGATTTGCAACGTGCCGGGATCGGGTCGGGACTGGGATCCAAAGTCCAGAGTGTCCCCTCCACACACACACACACACACACACACACACACACACACTCAAAAAAGAAAAAAATACAAATACAGGAACCCCGGGATACTGGGTCTCAGCTCTGCCGGACCCACGTGTGCCCATCCTGGAAATGCTCTTGCTTCTCCCCGACGTCTGGGGGGTGGGGGGTGGTTAAGAGGGACGGGGGTCAGGAAGACAGACCAGCAGCAATGACAGACGCCTTCCTCCGCGCCCCGCGGGACCACCCTCATCATCACCGGCCTCCTCCCGGGCCGGACCTCCCCCGGGCACCCCTTTCAGCCCAGGGGCCCAAAGCGTCGGCCCTGCACCGCGCCCCCCGCCCCCGCTGCCCCTAGCAGGGGCGCGATCCCGCCCCTGGAAAGGGGCGCCCAGCCCCCCTCCTGCCGGCCGACCCCTCCCCTCTCCGCACACGCCCCTCGCGGGCTCCGCTCCAGCACCCCGCGCCCCCAGCCCACCCGGCCCCTCCGAGACCCCTTCCTAGGACAGCCCTTCCCGCGCGGCTCCCCCGGACTGGTGGTCCCCTCCTTCCCCCGCCTGCAGCCGCGCCTTCCACGCCCCCTGCGCCTCCCCACCCCGACAGCCAGCGGCTCCCCCGGGCCAGCCCCGCGCCGACCCCCGGGGGCGCGAGCCCCCCGCGCCCGCCCCAGCCCTCCCGCCCTCCCGGCCCAGCGGCCGGCCCCTCACCGCCGCGGCGGGTTCCTCAGCTGCACCGTCTCCATGGCGCTGCCGGCAGCCGCGCGGACCTGCTCACTGCCCCATCCTCCGCCGGGACCTCCCCGGCCCGCCCCGCGGACCCTCCCACGCTTCCGCTTTCCGCCCCGACCGGAAGCGGCGCGCGGCCCCGGGGCGGGGCCCGGAGGGGCGGGGCCTAGGGAGGGCGGGGCCTGAGGGGATCACGTGGGGGCGGCGCGTCACGTGGGGCGCGAGGACCCGGAAGCGGGGAGCGAGGCGGGGCGCTGGCCCTGGGTGATGCTGCCTGCCCATTGCCCTGGCCGCCCGTCCGGCACAGTCGGGGCTCGGGCCGGCCGTTCGTTTCTCGGACCGACACGCCGAGGCGCCCCCACGAAGCGCTGCTCGAGGGGCTCCTGGAGGTATTGGGGTGTTTTGAGTTTTGGTTTTTTTTTTCCTACCGCTCTTACCTGGGTCAGTGCCTGGTCCTCAGACAGGATGGTCATCAGGTTGGTCTCGACATCCCAGCAGAACATCAGCCGGAAATCGGCCCAGTGCTCTTTCTTTGTTTGGGAACCCGAGGGTCCCCAGGTGCCGGTTTGGCCCACACCCTTGCGGAGCTCAGGGATCACTCCTAGCGATGCTCAGGGACCCGGGTGCGGTGCCTTGGAGTCGACCCGGGGTAGGCTGCATGCACGCCAACTTTTTTACTTCGCAGCCTCACTGTCGGTCGGTTTGCAGACATTAAACCAGCAGATTCCTGAGCTCTTCCCCCGGGCTTGCTTGCATGCGTTATTTCATTCAGGCCTCTCTCTCGGATTTCGTGTCCTATTTGACAAATAAATGTTTGCTGTATTCTAGGTGACTCGCTAGTACGAATTCATTTAGCAGTCCTTGAAGGTAATTAACGACTATTCTTATTTTATAAAGGTGAAGATCACAGAACCAAAAGTATAGGTTTGGGGTGACGAATTAATATACTTCAGACTCCCTTGTGTACCCACAAAGTGGACAAGAACCACTACCCACCAGAACTTCTGGCCAACTCAGAGCTGAAATAGTGACTCTAGAATCAACCCAGAGTTCTGATTCAGAAGTGTTCAATTGCTACCACCAACACTGAGCATTAGGAAAGTGGCAAATACTGACCAGCTCTTGCCTGGGGCAGATCAGAGAAGAAAATACCCAAAGAGCCAGAGAAGCCTCTTACTCCTTTGGTTTTGGTTTGGAAGCCACACCCCGGGGTGCTGAGAGGCTATTCCTGGCTCTGTGCTCAAGAGTGAACACTGGTAATGCTCTGGGGACCATGGATCCCGGGATTCAAACTAAGGTCCACGGAACTCAAGGCAAGGTCCTCAATCTCTGTATAACCTTTCTGTCTTACTGCTCTTATTGTCCCACTTTTTCCCCTTTTTTAGCTTTGAGTGTAGGAAGTTAGACTCAAGAATGTCTCTGAAACACCCTACAGAAATACCGAGGTATCTCTGGAGTTAAGCCCCACCCCATCTGCTTAAACTGGGCAAATCAAGTCATTTTCCATTCACTGTATCACTGTATCACTGTCATCCTGTTGTTCATCGATTTCCTCGAGCAGACACCAGTAACATCTCCTTCGTCCTAGCTCTGAGATTTTTAGAAAATGCCACATTCGAGGCTCTTTCAGGGTCAGGAGAATGAGACCCATCATTGTTACTGGTTTTTTGGCATTTTGAATACGCCACAGGGAGTTTGCCAGACTCTGTCGTGTGGGCACTTTCTGTTAAAGGGGGGAAACGTTGATGGATGGACCCCCAACCAGGAATAGCCCTAGACAAATCACAACCCTGAGAACAACCCTACAAAGCAAGAATTTATTAGACCCAGTTTACGTCTGAGGATCTGTGACTCACATTCACACAGCAAGAGAGAGCCAAGACTTTACCACAGGTCCAGCCTGACTCCACAACATCCCTTTTGATTGGCTACTTTGCCCCTTGAGGATACTGTAAAAATGGCACAGGGAGGGGCTGGAGCAATAGCACAGCGGGTAGGGCGTTTGCCTTGCACGCCGGCCAACCCGGGTTCGATTCCCAGCATCCCTTAGGGTCCCCTGAGCCCTGCCAGGGGTGATTCCTGAGTGCAGAGCCAGGAGTAACCCCTGTGCATTGCCAGGTGTGACCCAAAAAGCAAAAAAAGAAAATGGCACAGGGAGGCACAGGAATTGAAGATCAAAAACGTTTGCTGCTTACTCTTCAAGCCCGTGTTCTCTCTTGAACACGTATCTTACTTGCTTATCTCTTTTTTTTTCTTCTTTTTCTTCTTTTTTTAAAATTTCTTTTGTTTGGTTGGTTTTGTTTGGTTTTGGGGAATTGGGGGGGGTCATACCCAGCAGTATGTCCCCCCTCCCCCAGTAGCTCAGGGGCTACTTGAGCGCTCTGTGCTCAATAATCGCTTCTGGCAGTGCTGGGGGTGAAACCCAGGTTGGCCATGTGCAAGGCCAAAGCCATATCCGCTGTGATATCACTCCGCCCCCACCCCCATAGTATTTTCAGAGGTGATAGAAATGCTCTATATATGTGCTAGCCAAATACAGTAACCTCTAACCACATGTGGCTTGTGTAGTGGAAATTATTTTACTTCATTAATTTTATTTTCAACAGCAAATCACAATCAACCATTACATAACAGCTTAAGAGAGGGGGAAAATTCAGGGATTGGAAAGATAGTAGTATGTAAGTAGTATGTAAGCTGCCTTGCAGGCAGCTGCCCACGTTTCAATCCCCAGCACCCAGGAGCACTGCCAGGGGTGGTCCCAGAATGCAGAGCCAAGAGTAAGCCCTGAGCACTGCTGAGTGTGACTGGGAAAAAAAAAACTATTGTGCTAGGTTCTGAATGAATTAAAATGTTCAAGACAAGGGCCAGGAAGGGGGCCAGAGTCATAGGACAGTGGGTTGGGCACTTGCATATGACCAACCTGATTCAATCCCCGGAATCCCGTATGTTCCCCCAAGCCTTGCCAGAAGTAATTCCTGAGCATCACCAGGTATGGCCCCGTCACCAAAAAATTTTAAAGAGCCAGGATGTAATTCTGCATTAGGAACATGTAGGCCTTGGATGGGTTCAGTCCTTAGCATTACGTTTACAAAAATTCAAAACATAAGTGCTACCTTTTTTTTTTCAGATTGCTGTAGAAGAAACAGTTTTTGTACAGATAACTAATTAATGTAATAAATGCTAATGGAGAACTAACTTGAGAACCTTGGCAGCTCTAGTAGGGTCAGGAAAACTGAGCAAGGTGGAATAGTGAATCATTCAAGAGGCATTTATTGAATATGAGCTCTAGCCTGAGCACAGGACTAGATGCCAAGCAAAGAACAAAACAGATGAAACATCTGTCACCAGGGATCCTGCATTCAAGTACAAAAGGCAGTAAACAAAGTCAGCAAATGCAGAGGAGATGTGACTGAAGTGAGAGCCATACTAATAGCTAGAGAAAGAATAAGGCTAAACATTTAAGAAAAAAAAAAGAGTATTTAAGGCATAATGCAACAAGAGGATTTTGTAGATATCCCAGGGGTGGTGGGGTGCATGCACCATGGTACCCCAACCCCAGGCCTGCTACAAACACCACTACCTTGGCCCTTGTGGCCACCAGGGCTACTGGCCCAAGCAGCACTGGCATCGCCACAGGCTAGAGCATTGAACCATTCAGCCAGTCGGCTGAGTATTGCAGCAGTTACATGCCAGGAGGCGTGGAGCACTGCTTGAAAAGACCCCACCCCAAAACCCACCAAAAGAGGGGGGAAAAAAGAATGCAAGCAGTAAGAAGTGCACTTGTTTGGAGCTGAATGAAGTAGGAAAAGTAGGAGAGCTGGAAAGAGATGTAGCCAGATTGAATATGGGCTGTGTAAAGCTTTAAAAAATAAAATTACTGCCTGGAGCAATAGCACAGCGTGTAGGGGGTAGGGGTCATTTGCCTTAAACGCAACTGACCCGGGTTCGATTCCCAGCATCCCATACGGTCCCCTGAGCACTGCCAGGAGTAATTCCTGAGTGCATGAGCCAGGAGTAATCCCTGTGCATCACCGGGTGTAACCAAAAAAAAAAAAAATTACTGGACTTCAGTTGAGTGTATGAGCTGTCATTAAGCAACAAGCAAACCCAAAGTCAAATGGTTTAAGGATGGTATAGCATATCAACACCTGAATGTGGTTTAACATAAATTGCAGCACAAAGTCAACTTCAAAATAGTAACATTTCCTGCTTGTTGGTTATTTATAAAGAAGTTATGACCATGGGCTGGAGTGATAGGACAGTGGGCAGGGCATTTACCTTGCATGCGGTCAATCCAGGTTTGATCCCTGGCATCCCATATGGTCCCTTGAGCACCGCCAGAAGTGATTCCTGAGTGCAGAGCCAGGAGTAACCCCTGAGCATCATCTGTGTGACCCAAAAACAACAACAAAAAAGAAGTTATGACCATTTGTCTATTTGTATAGACATAAATACAGGCATTTGTATAGACAAGTACAGGCATATATTCCATTTCTTGTAGAAAATTAACTGATAAGAAATGACTGGATCATGTGAAAGATACACATTGGATATATTAAATTTTTCCAAGGTGTTTTGTTGGACATTTCCTTCAGTAACATATGAGAGCCCCAGTTGCTTTTCATTCTCACCTACAGCTGGTATGATTAGTATTAATAATTTTGGACAGGCATTAATAGGTATATAGTCATGCTTCATTGTGATTTTAATTTTTGTTTCCCTAATGACTAATGATACATAGCAATGTTTGTATTGTTTGTATTGCTTGTCATCTGTATTCTTTTCCAAGGATCTATTCAAGTCTATTGCTTATTAAAACTGTGCTTTCTCGTTACTGAGTTTTGAATTTTGAATATGCGAGACGAAAGTCCACTTTCAAATACATGATTGACAAATTTTTCTGGGGCTCGTATTTTCATTCATTTAACATCTGAAGAGCAAAATTTCATTTTTAGTAGGTTCAATATATCCATTCTTTCATTTTTTAATTTTTTTGACCTGGTGATGCTCAGGGGGTTGGTTACTTCTGGCTCCGCACTCAGGAATCAATCCTGGTGGTTCTTTGGGGAACTATATGAGATGCTGGGGTCAAACCTGGGTCA